AATGTATTCGTTTCAGGTAAGCCTACAGATTAACACGCGAATATGCATACATACAGGTATATGAAAATCCGTATTAAATATCTTATACAATCTCCACTTGAAATGCAACACTGCGTTTGAAATAAGACACTAAACCAACGTGTTTTACGAAATTGAATTCTTGGCTTTATGTTACAGACAAGATTGCATATACAATGTATATGTACTTTCTTTAAGAGTGAATGAAATATATAGAAAGAAGTTTGAACGTATCGGTCTTATTAATCTAAAATAACTTTGTTTTAATCGAAATATTAGAGAGACTATAGATAAATATTTAATAATTAATTTAATTTTACCTGAAATTTTTCGTTAATTTAATAAATATCGTCTAGGATGCGTAAGAAATGTCAATTAGTATAGAAAGTCGCTTTGCTCTCAAATATAGGGCCTATTTTTTCTTTCTATCCTTATGTGGCATCTTAGAAAAACAAATGTCAATGCTCATATACCGGTTGGTGCATCATCGTTGAGGACCCATGCAAATTTTGTACTTTCTAAATATTGGCTCCCTTATTAACTTTACAGCTAAGTTCTAATTAGGTTATTAAAGGTCTGCGTATGCTGAATACACATGCCAAATTTGAACAATTTTGGACAAGCCGATTTTAAGTAATTTAAGAAAAACTGCATCTATTTTTAAATTAAAACTGAACAGGTAAGAATGCAGAACCAGTCAAATGTCAACATACCTTAAAGTTGTCTACTTATGATTTTATCCTTGTCAACTGTAATTTGTTGTGCTATTTACACTACTACGTTATAATACCTAAGGTTAGTGCCGCCGAAATGCACTTTTGCAATTTAAGACTGGTTTTACTGGGGTAAAATCCTAATGTTTAGAAAATATAATTTGACATTGACAAAATTATAGGATGACATCTTAAGGTACGTTGGCATTTCCCTGGTTTTGAAAACTGAACAGTTACAGTTTTAATTGAAAAATAGATGCAGTTTTCCTTAAATTACTTAAAATCGGCTTATCCAAAATTGTTCAAGTTTGGCATGTGTATTCAGCATACGCAGACTTTTAAAAACCTATTGACTTAGCTGTAAAATTAATATGGGAACCAATATTTAGACAGATCAAAATTTGCATTAGATTTCCTATTTTCCAACAGCGATGCACCATATTAATCATAAATTATATTTTACCCTTTAGGATATCTAAAATATGTATAAGGGTATTATTATATTATAGAGAACGCAGAAGAAAAATAGCACGAATATTTAAAAAAAACTCTAATTTATTTTACCTAAAATTATCGTTTTTGTAATGTGCTTATATCGTGATTTTTGGATAAGCGGCGTTTACACGATGCAAGTTTTTCTTGCGCAAATACTTCTTTGCGAGTACTTGCAACTGAACATTTTAAAATTGTATGTTTACACTAATCAAGTTATTGTGCAAGAACTATGGATACCACAGAGATTGTTAAATGTGGTGTAAATCTTTTTTGCAATACGTTAAGTGATGAATTGCGTCCTTTGTTAGAAAAAAATCAAAAAACAAGAGTATATGGGTAAAACCATGGATAAATCTGAGGAAAAATTGTTTATTCCAAAACTCTTTCAGAGGCAGCATCTGATAATTGTATTTCTATAGAACATAGTTTACATTAAGCAAGTACTTGCAATCAAGTTCTTGCGCAAGCAAAACTTGCATCGTGTAAACGTAGCTTTACATGATCGTGTAAACGTAGCTTTACATACCACCCTGTATACCTTAGTGTACAGGGTGGTCGAAATTGGTCTGTTTTAACAGAGAAAACCTATTTCCTGACTAGATAGAGCAAAACCGACATAGATGTCATGGCCTCGATTACTGAGACATGTTTAATTGCGTAAACCGCCTGTTGATATTTTCACTGCCAACTGATATACGGGGTCTTTTTGAATTTTTTACTGTTTGGAAAATTGACCATAACTTTTTTATTTCGCGGAATAATAAAATTCTGTAAAAACGTTCTTAAGGTACTTTTTAAGCACAATCCAGGGGCGTAGTCAGTTTTTTTTCTATTCATGCTCTTTTTGTCAGAAATAATAAAAAATATAATTTTTTAAATGGAAATCATAGTTGGCTATAAACTTAAAAAAATGCTGGCGTTTAACCCTTTCCAACGATATAAAGTTATGCGTATTTATTTCTAAGAATGAGAGAAATATTAGGTTTTTTATCTTTGTATCGAAGCAGGCCTTGATTTTGTGTTGTTGTAGTTGCCTAATTATTTTTTATCACAATTTAATATTCTAAATTATTATTTATCTGCATAACTAAAAACTTTTTAAATAGTAAATCAACATTCTATATTAGTATTACCAATTACAATTAAAACGCCAGGGTTACAACTACTGAACTATTAAAGAATTGGGTTAGAACAAGGGGCCCATATCTTGCTCTGCCTGCTAGGTCCTGTTATTTAACTCCTTTCGACTTTTTTATGGAGATAATTAAAAGACCTTATATGTAAGGGAAGAACCATTGAGACGAGAGAAGAATTGCAGAAGGCTACTAGTTGCTTAACTAGATATTCTGTGCTACTAGGCAAGCTTTTGAACTTATTAAACCAGTTCGCTTAATAAATCGTTGTAACTGTGTGCGCAAAAGATTTTTATTGTGTATTCAACAAGGTGGTGCTCAATTTGAACATCTTTGATTTTTTTAGAAAACTATATTCGTCACTCAAAAAATACGTTTTTTTAATTTTGTTCTTTGTTAATTGTATCGATTTCAGTTTTAATTACTAATACTAATAATTACTATTACTAATAATAATAGAATGTAACTTTATCTCTTCAAAAGTCTTTAATTATGCAGATAAAAAGTAATTAGGCAAATAGGTCAACTCAGAATCAAAGCCCGAAATAAAGATAAAAACTCTAATATGTCTCTCATTCTTAGAAATAGATACACATAACTTTATTTCATTGGAAAGGGTTAAACGCCAGCATTTTTTTAAGTTCATAGCCAACTACGATTTCCATTTAAAAAATTATATTTTTTATTATTTCTGAAAAAAAGAGCAAGCATAGAAAAAAACTGACTACGCCACTGGATTGTGCTTAAAAAAGTGCCTTAAGAACGTTTTTACAGAATTTTATTATTCCGCGAAATAAAAAAGTTATAGGCAATTTTCAAAATGGTAAAATATTCAAAAAGACCCCGTATCTCTGTTGGCAGTGAAAATATCAACAGGCGGTTTACGCCATTAAACGTATCTCAGAAATCGAGCCCATGACATCTATGTCGGTTTTGCTCTATCTAGTCAGGAAATAGGTTTTCTCTGTTAAAACAGACCAATTTCGACCACCCTGTACACTAAGGTGTACAGGGTGGTATGTAAAGCTACGTTTACACGATCATGTAAAGGTACGTTTACACGATGCAAGTTGCTTGCGCAAGAACTTGATTGCAAGTACTTGCTTAATGTAAACTATGTTTCAAGTAATTGCTCAACTGATTGTACAAGAAAAATTACTTTGCAAGTAAACGTAGCTTAAAGTAGAATTACTATATTCTAATAAATCAATTACATGAATCGATGTTAACTAAGTAAAATTCAGAGCAAACTAGTGGTGCGCTATATATAGGGTGTCCGGAACTGGAGCCCCTATATACAGGGTGAGTTTCCTACGAATGGGTATCTCGGAAACTACTGGAGATAGAGAGTTGGTTAAATGAGGAAAGAATTGCAGTTTTGTAGGGTCATAAATATGCGCCTGTTCAGATTGTTGGCTTACTAGATATTTAAAAAAAAAACAAATTTTGGCTATTTTTAAAATTGTCCCTAATTCCATTATAATCTATTTTAGACAAAAAGTTTTCAAATAAAAGTTGTAGATAATCACATCCTTAATGAGTCTGTGTTCTCTGATTTTCTCTAAAGCCTGTCATTTTTGACATATGACACAAACATATGTTTTTTTAAATGGAAACCATAGTTGGCCATGACTTCATAAAAAGCGCTATTTTTTAAGTTTTTCAGCGATATAAGCTATAATATGTTTTATTACAGTTGAGGGTTGGAACCTTTGGTGTTACACAGCAAAATAAAAACACTAAATCACCACAATACACCAAAACACTTTTAATTTTCACTGGACGCGCGTTTCGCTAACCATGTTAGCATCTTCAGCAGATGATTATAAACTACGAGTTTATAATTAACTACGAGTTTATAATCATCTGCTGGTTATGCTAACATGGTTAGCGAAACGCGCGTCCAGTGAAAAGTAAAAGTGTTTTGGTGTATTGTGGTGATTTGGTGTTTTTATTTTGCTATGTTTTATTCACAAAATTACTGAGTTATAGCCAGTTCTTATCTTTCTTGACTAATTTCACTTAGTTGGTATGGTGTTCTTATTTTGTTGTAATTGTAATTTTTTGAAAAAATATATTATAGCTTATATCGCTGAAAAGCTTAAAAAATGGCACTTTTTATGAAGTCATATGTTTGTGTCATATGTCAAAAATGACAGGCTCTAGAAACAATCAGAGAACACAAACTCATTAGGGATGTGATTATCTACAACATTTATCTGAAAACTTTTTGTCTAAAATAGATTATAATGGAACTGGGACAGTTTTTAAAATAGCCAAAATTTGTTTTTTTCGAAATATCTAGTAAGCCCTAAACTTTTTCAAAAATCTGAAAGGCGCATATTTATGATCACACAAAACTGCAATTCTTTCCTCATAATCAACTCTCTATCTCCAGTAGTTTCCGAGATACCCATAGAGAACATCGTAGGAAACTCACCCTGTATAGCATACGTTCCCATCTGTCAATTATACGAGAGAAAACAAAATATTGATATTTTGATGAAAGTTTGGAACACCCTGTGGAGTACGTTAACAAAGCAAGGAATATAAAAATGATTTTATCACCTAGATGTATCTTTTCTCGATAGTTTGTTTCTTGATTCATCTCAATAGGGTGTATTTTTTTGGTGATATTCGGAGGGGGGGGGGGTGTTAGGTTAGGTTAAGTTAGGGCTTTTGAAGACGACACATTATACCATTATAACATTTTTTCGTATTTTTTACATTAAAACCATGCTTTTGCTTTTGCTCCTAATCAACAGACCTATAAAATAGTGGCTATGATTTATGATGTAATGTCACTGAAAGAAACCCATCTTATGATCAAGAAAATTACGATTTCAAAGTCATGTTCTTGATCATAAGATTTCTTGTAGTTTAAGGTAGTTTGAATTACCCACAATCACATAAAATATATTATGCAATATTAAGACTTTTAAGAGCGTTATATTTTTCAATTCAAAATAAAAATGTACATTGTGTTTCAATCTAGCAAAACTGAAAAATTTATATTTCTAACTAAACCTTTTGTATGTTATAAAGAGAGTAAAAACTAATAACAACATGTAAAAAAGTCTTTAAATATTCTACATTACCATAAATTTGTTAGCTTACAACTAAAGATACAACCTTAACTCATTCACTAGCATACAATTTATCCTAGGTATTATCACTTCACAGTATCTATATTTACATATTTTGAACTTTCTTTTTAATTATATATTTGTTGTGGTCCATACTGACTAATCGCACTAGACACGCTTCAGGGCTGAACTTCACATACGAAATACGTTTCGAACGAACAAGGCGAGTCGTTCCATTTCAGGCCTTTTCCATCTCTGTTCCAGAGTTCCAGACAGTTCTCTTGCTCGCCATTTTCGTACTCGAAATTGTTGGGTTCCCCGGCGTTCCAGTTGGTGAAGGTTATTGGACGGCCGGTGGACATCCAGAAGAAGTTACCTTCTTCGGCTAAGTCAGTACCCGACGTCCAGAAGTGTTCATTGCCAAAACCTAGAAAAGAAAATACTTTAGTAAAATATTAAGTAGTTAAATCGGCTAGCGATTATTTGAGAGCGAATCCAAAGAGATATGCCTTATAGTAAAGTGACGATAAATATCGATATTTATTTCACATTAGATAATTGAATCAATAAATGCATCTGTAATTTTGATTTTCAAAAGTAGCATTTTTTTATACATCAACCCAACCAAATCAAACCATTAGTGCCAAGAAGTCTAATATCGTCGTTGTTGACAAAGATTTGAAGAAAGTTTTATATAAATGTTGCCTGGTTTATAAAGATGCATATCCTAAATATATTTTGTTGTAAACAACGTGTCCAAAAAAGTAACGATAAAATTGGCAGTTATTTTTTAAATTGAAACCCCAATTTTTTGTACAAAATGAGGTTCAGCAAAAAAATTTGTATATAGTATATTTTAGTATATACTATTTTTATTTGAAGCACTAGGCGGTGTTGCCATGCTATAATTATATACTAAAACTTTGATTAAAAATAGTGTAAAATAAAACACTAAATCACCACAATACACCAAAACACTTTTGCTTTTACACTGGACGCGCGTTTCGCTAACCATGTTAGCATCATCAGCAGATGATTATAAACTGAGGACTAGCGCTTTAGAGGAAATCGTCGTGGGTGTTGAAACTGCTATTCAGCACTTACCCGAGGCTTCTAAGGTATTTACAAGAGAGGCTTGTAGAAATCAGTTATCAAAAAATATCGTTTCTAGTAAATCATTAAAATCTAACAAGGAGCACAATATTGTCAAAAGTTTGCGTAACAAAGATTGTTTCTACCTAAAAGCTGATAAGGGAAATAAGGTTGTTATATTAGATAAAAAAGACTATTACGATAAGGTTAACAACTTAATCGATAATGGTCCTTACATAAAATTGAAAAAGAATCCTTTGTCTAAGATGGTAACAGATGTTAAAAAAACTTTAAAAGAATGTAACAACCTTATTGATTTTTCTTTAAAGAGAAAATTGCAAGTATCCAATCCCTCCAGTTCATAATCATCTGCTGATGATGCTAACATGGTTAGCGAAACGCGCGTCCAGTGTAAAAGTAAAAGTGTTTTGGTGTATTGTGGTGATTTAGTGTTTTATTTTGCTGTGTAACACCAAAGGTTCCAACCCTCAACTGTAATAAAAACAGTGTATCAAAAAAGTGGTTAAAGCCTGATGGAGTGAATTTAACTTTATTAATACTGAGCTACATTTTCCTAAACATCATGGATAATAAAATAAATTCGTGAAGGTAAACTGACATTATCTTATATAGGGTATTTATGGCGTGGTCAACATTGCAATATTAAAAATGTTCTATCTCATTTGAATAAAACACCATGTATATTAATTTTCTTTTAGATGCCGTATAAAAAAACAACATTTTTTGTCTGTGGTCCTAAAATTATGTTTGTTCCAACCGACAGGACGAGAGAACCGTCCTAGAACGGTAATTTCCTATCAGTCAATTCATTTGTTAATCTTGACCAGAGGCGCATATACGGGAGGGGTAATGGGGGTAATTACCCCTCCCAGGAAGAAATTTATAAATAAGAAAATCTGGTATAAAATAAAATTTTCACAAAAGAAATTAATAATGTCAATCAAGATACAAATCCAGAACAAGTTTATTTTTATCCACATAGTCACAATACCTTTGAGCGAAAATTTAATTTAAATCTATTATTTTATTTAAATATTGCCACCAGGGTTAGGAAGTAGTTAATTAAGACGTAATTTACCTGATTATCTACGTGTAGTTTTTTTTCAAAAACTACGTCTTTTCCCGTTCATTAACTACATGAAAACTACGTTAATAAACTATGTATTGATATTATGAATAATTTTCCTTTGTAAGTTGCTGGTAGTTGAGGTGTAATAGAGATAATATGATGTCAATATTATATTTAAAGCCATATTTATTCTGTTTCTTAAATACATTATGTATTTTTAAAGCTTCAACTTATTGTAACCTCACTTCAAACCTTTGATATTTGAAAGTTACATACATAGGTTACATAAACTACATTAACTACATGTAATGTAGTTTATGTAGTTTTTAAAAGTAACATGTAGTTTTCCGAACCCTGATTGCCACTACCCCTCCCAGACTCAATCTCTGGATGCGCCACTGATCTTGACAAACGGTAAAACTTTTCAAACAATAAGTAGGCGACTAGAAATTACCGTCCCAGGATCGGTTCTCGGTTCGGTTGAAACGAACAACGGTATTAAGAGTATATTACCGTTGATATTACATAATATTTGGGACTCTTACAAAAGTAAAATACCAAATGCGTCTCAAAAATGACTTACCCCTATAACTCTAATTTTTTCACATAAAAACGAGATTTTGTATGATACTATATGACATAAAATAGGATAGATTGACGTATTCAATTGTTTGTGGTCACTTCCTGTTTCGCTAGAAATGACTACAAGTTTTGATTTTTAAATTGCACCATCGGTATATATTGGAAGCCAATGCCATCCTCTCTAGTGAACTTAGTATACTTCTAAAGACATCATCTAATCATTGTTTAGACATTAATCCCAATAAATGTTACGGTCTTTTATTTGGTAGAATACAGGCTAGAGACCAATATGAAAAATTGTTTTCTGTGTCTTTGGACGGAAAGAGGTTGAATAGCTGTAAATCTGCAAGGAACCTTGGTGTGATTATGGATACTCACTTAAGGTTTACTGAACATATTAACAAATGTATAGAAAAGGCCTTCATAAATTTAAAACTGATCTACAAAATCAACGTTACATCTTAAATCCTAATCTCAAAAAGAAATTATGTGACACCTTAGTTCTTTCACAATTTACCTATTGTGACTCACTATATGGACCGTGTATTTTAGATCATGATGCTAAACGCATTCAACGACTACAGAACTGTTGTATCCGTTTGATAGGCAGTATAAAAAAATATGATACAGGTATCACAAATAAAATGGCGGAAATTGGTTGGCTCAACATGGCTGGGAGAAGAAAATTTCATTCATACTTACTAATTTATAAGATAATCAATAATAAAAGTCCATGTTATTTGTTTGATAAAATTAAATTTAGGTATGATGAACATTCACTGGACTTGCGTCACAAGTTTAATATCGCTCCCCCTATACATCGCACAACTCTGTATGAGAGATCATTCAGTTATCAGGCATGTATTCTTTATAATAGAATTTCTGTAAATCTTAAAATTAACTGTTATTTGAAATTTAAAAGTTCTATACGACAGTTAATATTTAATTCTTCAATTTAAATGTTCAGATCTTATAATCTCCCGTCATGCCTCCATTTTAGTTTGTTTTGATTTATTTATTTATCTACTTAATGTACTTACTCGTTAATTACTTTCTGTATAATTATCTATAATACGGGATTAATTATTGGTTGCCTTTTTTTTTACTCATAGATTTATTTTCTTTGTGTATCTATCATATATAAATACTTATCAATTATTTCTCATGTTTCATGTATAAATATTTAATTAATTGATTTTCGGTATATTCTAACTATGTTATTCTACCCTTTAGTTTTCTATTATAATTATTATTGATTTATTATAATATTTTTATATAATATATATTAATTATGTCTACTAATTAGGGTTAAGTTAGGAAGCTAAGCTTCAACTTCGCCTTTTGTGATTTTTTTAAATTTCGCAATAAAGTCTTTATTATTATTATTATTATTATTATTATTATTATATTTCCACTTTATTCGATAGACAATGACACTCTGAATAGAATTACATTTCATATGTCAACTTTTGACATTTTCGCATATGGTTTATTTGAAATTGTAAAAAAATGTTGTGTCTCGAAACGCTCTATCCTTTTTTTTAGTTTTTCTATAATTAGTGTTAATCGAGGTGTTAATTGTTGACAAGTTTTATGTCAATTTTAGTTAGGATAATTTGGGATATATAGTTCATATAAAACAAACTTTTAGTCACGTGATTAAGCTTGACCGGCACATTGTTGCCCACTTTTACATATTTTCTTTTAATCAAAATATTTTAGGAAACAAAAATAAATTAATTATAAATATATAAACAGTTATTATTTACATCAATAAAACTCACAACACACAAGTATCACAACACAGTTCATTTAAACCAAAAACTAAAATTTTGTTTTGTTTTTATTTTATACCAAAAAACATCGATGTTACGTTATATCGATGTATCGATACATCGATATTTCTTTTTGCTATATTTGCATCCCTACTTAACACACATCCTGAAGAATACCACAACCAAACTTATATGGAATCATCTATTATTTTTCATAATTTTTGAAACGTATGAAAATTTTGTGTTTATGAATAAAACTCTGTCCTTACCAATGACTTTTAAAAAAAATAATCCATATAGCAATAAAAAAAATTAACCATTTCTCAAAATGTATCACAATAGTATTTTTTTTTTGGTTTCTGAAACGAAATTAAGATTTAAATTTTTAATGTTCAAAAAGCAAAAACAAAAAGAAAATTGATAAATTTAATAATCCTTGTTGCCACCTCTAGCCCTTGCGCAAGCTTCTATCCGGGCTGGAATTCTTATAAAATTATCGACGTTGTCTTGAGGTATGTTTTCCCATTCTGCTGATGCTGCATCAATAAGCTGTGCTAGATTTCCTGGATTATTTCGACGAGCTCTAAACCTTCTTTTGAGCTGGTTCCACAAGTGTTCGATAGGATTTAGATCTGGTGAACATGCAGGCCAGTCCAAAACTATAACATCTTTCGTGTCAAGACATTCTCTAGTCACTCTGCTGGTATAGGGTGGTGCATTATCGTGTATGAAGTTAAAATTATCCCCAATTCCAACTCTCCAAAAACTAACGATTGGTTCTAGCACTAAATCAACATACCTCCGACCTGTTAAAGTATGTTGAAGTGGTAACAATGGAGTTTTTTCTTTCAGCATAATACCTCCCCAGAAGATTACACTTCCTCCTTT